GATTTAGTGAAGAAGTCAGCCAACTGGTTGTTGCTAACAATCAGCTCCACCAATAGCTTACCAGCACCGACATGATCCCGAAGAAAATGGTGTTTAATGTCCAAGTTCTTGGTCATACCAATGCATCCACGGTTGTCTTCGTATATGGTGATTGGTTCAATGTTCAGCTCATCGAGGTCGCCTAGAAAACCGACTAGCTATATTGCTTCCGATGCTGCAGCACTCAACGTTACATATTCAGCTTCGCTTGAAGAAGTTGCAACTGTTGTTTGCTTCTTACATGACCTCGCAACAGTACATCCGAAAACACGGAAAACACGCTTACTGATTTCCGGTCGTCAGTATCGGTGGCCCAGTCTGAATCAGCAAACCCGATGAGTGGCGCCACTTGATTGTCTCGAGTAAACGTCAAGCAACACTCCATCGATACTTTAAGGCATCGTACAACCCGTTTCAGTGCTATCCAATGTTGTTGTCCAGGTTGAAGTTGGAATCTCCCCAGATATTCGATAGGAAAGCAAATGTCCGGCCTTGTGGACATCATCACGTACATCACTTGACGATCCAATTTCAATCCTTTCTCAATAGGCGTCCTTGTTGCATTGCACTCCGCCATGCCGAACTTCTGCAAGATCCTTCCAGGCTGGTTTCTTGAGACAGCATCATTCTACCATTTTGTTGATCGTACCGTATCTTCATCCCAAGAAAATGAGTCAACTCTCCACAATCGGTCATTTCAAACATCGCCGACAGTTCGCGTTTCAGCTTCATTATGGTGGTCAGCTGCATACCTGCTATCAGGAGATCATCGACATACGGCACGATGAAAACAACGTCTTTCCCCCTCTTGTCGATATGGGTTTATAGGCAATAGTCGTGCTTGGAACGTGTGAAACCTAGCTTCAGCAGCACATGATTGAATTTTTCGCTCCAACAACGAGGAGACTGCTTCAGACCATGCAACGATTTCTGTAGCTGGCACACCAGCCCAGGGTTTGCCTTGACGCCATCCGGAAAAGCCATGAAGATTCTCTCTTGTAGCTCACCATGAAGGAACGCCGTCTTGACGTCCATCTGATGGAACTGGAATCAGGGTTACTTCCACTCGCTTGCTATAAAAAAATGTTTTTCGGAATTATGAAATCATGAAATAGTATAATGCTGATAAGTACTTGTAAGTTACAAGAAGAGGCCATGAAGTATATGTTTGACACATCAAATCTGTCAATATTGCTTGCAGTGCGTCACAATCAGCGATTTTACGACTCGTGAGCGCTCACTCTGAGTGAACGCTCACGAATCATAAGATCGCTGATTGTGACGCTCTGAAAGTAGAATTGACAGGTTTTATGAGTCAAACATATACTTCATGGCCTCTTCTTGTTACTTACAAGTACAACATATCATTATAACATCTAATGATTGCATAATCCCGAAAAATATTTTTTTATAGCAAGTGAGTGGAAGCAACCCTGACTGGAATCCCCTTTGTACGCCTACGGCCAGCACAATTCGAATCGTCTTGCCTTGCATCGCACATTGTTTCCTTCTTCTTCCTTCCTCTTTCACGCAAAAGACCCGATTCGACTGTAAGTGCTTGACACCGGCAGGGCATTCCACCGTCGTCCACACCTTATTCTCCTCAAGAGATTTAAACTCGTCTCTAACTGCGGTCATCCAGAGCTGTCGATGTTCTCGATTTTCGATTTCGGCGTACGATTCCGGGGGATCTGAAGGAGTTGAAATTTTACCAGCAGATGTTGCTCTAAACCCAGTAAAGAAGTCAAGTAACTTACCTGGGAGCCTGCGCTCCCGTTCACTGCGCCTAGTTTCAGACTCTGAATAGTCATCACCTCTATGTTGTGAAGGGAGCGAACCAGGGTTTTCGGATGGAGCTTCTTCGGTTGGTTCTTCATCCAGATCAACGGTGCTTTGCGTATCCGGATCGACTTTATTTTCGGTTTCGCTTTCGATAACAGCTACTGCTTCTTGTTCGGCCGACGAATTGTCCCCCTCTGGCAGATACAGCATGGGAATCACTAAGGGAACCTTCGAGCCTTTATCTTCTTCAGAAGCTTTATCGAACTTGATGTCACGAGAGATGAATACTTTTCTTGCTTTTCTGTCCCATAAGCGGTAGTCATTTGGAGCATAGCCAATCATGACCGCCTCCCGACTCTTGTTGCCCACTTCTTCCTCAGCTGGCTTGGAACCCACGATAACGCTTTGCATCCAAAGATACGCAGCTTGGAGAGATCAGGTTTCATCAATTCTGCAAAAGGCAATAATCCTCCATCATTTGAGTGAAAACACTGTAAAACGAAAATAATCATTTCGGATTTGATACTCGAAATCATCCTCACCAAGATGATTATGAATATGGATATGACAACAGAATAGGCGATAATGAATACGCATCTTTGAATGAACAATTGTTTTCTTCGAAACTCAGCGGTTGCCTTGATCAAGAACATATTATCGCGTCAAATTCATGGTTTATCTTTTCCCCCAATACAGTGGTGCATAGATTTTCATCAGGGGCGACCGCTAGCTTTTGCCTTGACCTGGCCCAAGGTCGACCGCTTCGAACTCCTAGATATGCCTCTGCAGCAATGCTGAGCTCCATTCCAGCGCTTGCTTGCAAATTTCGTTTCCGCCTCTTCGTTGTGTGTGGCTGACTCATCTCCTCGAATTTCCGTTAAGGTGATTTCTTGAAGAGTGCAAAGATGGCCGTTATAATGGCTGATATGTAGTATCACTTCAAGTTTTCTAGTGCACAAATATCGGATTCTGTTTGGACATCGTTCATGAAACTGGAACTCCCTGTTTGCTGCATTGCAGCAAACGTGGAGTAGCAGTTCCATTGCTCTATGTTGTGTGTGAGTTGATATTTGTTCTCTTGAAATTTCGAGGTGACAATGAGATTAATCGGAAATAAGGTTTCCACTGCGATTCACCTTGATATCGGATTCTGATGACATCGACGATGGAGCTCAGCATTCGAGATCCAACTGTAAGGCCACCAGGCACGAATTGTATACCACAGCTATCGATTGATGGGGTCTCAGATAGCCTAGTCAGTACAGGCACGGTATTACCAGGCGGCGGGTTCGATTCCCGGTCTGGTTGAGGAAATCCGGTACCTTTCATATTGTCTCATTATTTATGAACGGTCCTTTTATTTGACATTTGCAGTGGAAGTCAAATTTCACATCCATCCAGTTTTGTGTTCATTTGAATAATCGATTAATCGATTAATGAACCAAAAAATCAAATATTTTTAGTTGGTTATATCATGCCAAGTAAGCATTAACTTCTCCAGAAGATCATCACCCATCGTTTCAAACATGTTCTGGACTCGCTACAGATGCTCAAAGAGCCTAGAAGAAGAATATGTCGATTGATAAAGATTGACGAAAGCCTCTGCATACTGTGCCGGAAGCAGTGGGATCGGTTTCCGGTCCGGTGAATGAATTTTTTGATTGTTAGTTTGGAAGTCTTTTCAACTTTCCCGGTTATGGAATATCGTTTTGCTTGCCACAAAGAATAGGAATGTGCAAAAACTGGTTAGACTTAAATGACGTCCAAAGAACATATTTACTTCAATTTGAAATTCATTCAGTTCAGATATGTTCAAAATCGTGTTGTTGATCCCGCGTTGGACTAAGACCCATTACCATTATTTTGGATATAAATGAAAATTTCCTAAATTGTTTCAAGGAGCCCCGGCAATCACGTCACATTACATGGTAGGTGATTCTAACCTTCACTGACTTGTGTTTACATTCAAACCCTAAACTTGAACCCCCTCACCCCCTCATAATACTAAATGCGACCCACAAATCAGTACAGCCACGTAAATCGCAGGTCATGCAAGACATACCAAACGAAAAACCATAATTGGGTCATTACGGCCAATATCAGACTTCAGTATAGATACTTCTGCCAACTGCCAACATGGATAAAATCATAACAATAATAATACGCATTAAACACAGCCACTGACGCATGCACTTCCTCACATTCGCACCGCCATCGTTGGTTGCTGCGATTACAGAAAATCACAGTAGCTACGCAAAACATGCTACTGGAGGTCGTTCCAGGGCAGTCAACCATATGGCTTGTCGCAACTGAGAAAGGATGGTGTTATTTTTATTTGTAAGAACGTGAAGAACAATCCCGCGATTGTGGATTATCAAGGGTAACAAGACCATCTGTATGCCTTGAGTTTCCTTTTCCGAATGCTTGCTGAAGTTATGTCGCTCTGCCCTAGTAGCAAATAGGCCGTTCAGAGCAAATTTGCAAGCCTTCTGTGCGATAGGATGTTGATAGCGCAGTTGATTAGTGTATACATTGCTCCATATCAGAGGAAATCAGCGTCAACACTTGATATTTATAGATGTAAGGAAACGGTCAACAAAACGTCGACGACAATAACAACTTAAAGATTATGCGCATTTCTCCTCTCACCCAGTGAAGACGAATGCCACACCATCTTACTACATATATACCTTCACTACTGACCGGAAAGTTCGGCCGAAGCGTCGAGGCGCCTGTTGCTATGACTTACATTTCCTAAGGCGTTTCAAAAATAATATATTCATCTCTAACCCACTCCAAATTCGTTATGAAATTCAAACAAAATCTCTCTAAAAACCGGATAATTTCTCCGTCTATCATCCTCCGTTGAGAGATTCGCCAAACCACAAGTTTACGCAACCCCACCATTATTACGAGCAACACGTGGTGAATCATCACCATAGTATTATTTGAGAGGATATGAATAACCGGGTGATCTTCACGGAAGCACAATAACTTTCGTTTTTGTTCGAAAACCACTTATCCATAAGCCGGCTCAACTCAATGACAAAACAGGCATAAAAGCAGATCAAGTTTTCCAAATGTCACAACAACTTCATTGTCACGGACGCAGCGTTATCGAACACCCGCAGTGCAGGAAACTAATTGATATTGTGTTATTCTTATTATGCCCATTGCAGAAGGAGGAAACAAAGTGTGTGAGGCCGAAGTAAGGACCAGAATAAGTAAAATCAGCTCCGGTACGAGAAACGAATAGAAAAACTAAACAAAGCACAAACAGGGAAAATCAAACCGGGCGGAATGATTTCAGCCAAGGACAACGAAGAGTAATAGGATTTGAAATCACATACTGGAAATTGACGTGTGGGTGGCTTGTGGAGAAAAAACAAAACTCGCAGGTGAGTAAATTTACACACTAGGCATCGAACTCGAAATGAGGTTGCCGATTTAGAGTAAGGTTATTCAAGGTTATTATTGTGTTGAAGCAGAATGGTGCAAGTGTAAATTACAGTATAGCCTCGAGTAGCTCGAATTTAGTGCAATCAAATCTCCGAGCATCCCACTTTTTCGAAATGATGTATCCCGGATTCTATTTATTCGTTTGCAAATGTTTTATACCGTTGAGAAGGTTATTTTCTCAACTTTTCATTAATATCACATTGGTCGCACTGTGCTTACCACACAATATGCAAATTCATGCATTAATTGGCATAGAAAGCACTAAATTAATGACTGTGGAGTGCACCTAGAACACTAAGTTGAGATCCAACAAAACGCTCGCTACAGAAGGGTAAAAGCCTAGAAGAACCGTGAAAACTGGATTATTATTTTTAACAAAATTTCCCAGAGGCCAGTACTCTTTCAGTAGAGCAATTAAAAATTCTAATACATTATTATAAGCGTTCATAGAAAAATATGAAAGATGGAATCAAGTTGTTTGAACTTCCCATTTTTGTCTACCGATTAGTCAAAAATGGACAAATCATAAACTAAATTTAATATCGTTCATGGAGGTTACACGACCAATTTCTCCATAAGAAATGAGTACAAATATCCTTTCTAACGAGATAAAAACCTTGGAAATCAATTTTAAACTCCCAAATATACAGTGCCTTCCCATTTTTGGTAACATTACTTCATAAGTCATTTGCAGGGTGGCCACTAAATTTTAATTTAAGGATTTCCGAATTATTCCCGGGTTTCCCTGGTTTCCCGGATCAAACCAAATAAAATTTTCGGTTATTAATATTCAAAAACTTTGATTGGATTATCTAAAACTGCCAGATAAATCTTGGAAAAATTTTAGAATAATTAAGAGAAAGTTCTTCAAAACTTTGCTTTATTGTATAGCGAAGTTTTGAAGAACTTTCCCTTAATTATTATAAAATTATATACAATTTTTCTCCCACAGACCGGCAGGGTCTTACAATTTCGCTCAATTATCTTTCCCTTGTATACCCTTGGTATACTCACACAAACAGACATAACGTATTGAATATGTTCAACTGTAAAACATCGTCACTCAAACACTACCACCATCAGTTGTTTTTGTTTTTACTGTTTTTCCTTTAGTAAGCCACTGCCATCTGTTGAGTACAATGTCAAACATCAAACGCTAAGGTATTGGAACTACCCACTAAGAAAATTTTAAATTTACCGTTAAATGCGTGTTCCATGAAGAACATGCAAGAGTTATGTCTGTTTGTCTGTGGTATACTTCTCAGAATTACCGTAGTACTCTTCTCTCAATGGTATAAAAATTCTCATGAACATCGCCTTGAAAATACACTCTCTTGGAATACTTCCAGAAATTGCTTATACCCTGGACATACTATGGCTTATATCATGTAATATCACAAGTAACAATTCAAGCTGATCAGTAAGAACAGAAGCTGATTATTGGTTGATTAAAGGTGTACAAAGCTGATTAACATTAGGCTGAATACATAGTTGATTAGTAGTGCATGAAGCGAATTGTATCCCCATAATCCAACCTCAATAAGTTAGCTGATCTAAAGATTGAACAAGCCTTCTTTAAACTTAACACAACTCCACAAATCAGCAATACGTTACACAAATTTTGATAGCTTGATTTGTTAAATGTCGTCAGTATCTGTGTCACTCGTTGCATTTTCGGCATTTTAGTTCTTCTAAATTCACTGCCTACCTTTCTAATTACAAGCAGTGGCAGCAGTAGAGACTAGGAAGAGGAGATTTCAAGGAATAGCTCCAGGTAGATGTGGGTTGCGACGTCGTCGGAAGAATTAACATTTGTATTTCTATGTTTTGACTGCTATATTGCACTGAAGTTTCAGACCGCATCCAAAATGAATACTCAATTATGGCACTAAAATAGCATCCAAATGACCATCGAAATAAATCACGCGTGTTGACAGTTGACAGTATTAACCGCACTTGAAAATAATAGGAATGTTTTACTGTCACCAGTTGTTGTTTACAATTCTGCATTGCTGTATAATACTCTTCCGGTTGCTATTATTCAACTTAAATTTGACGTGCTTCAAGTCAATGATCATACTTTTTGCCACACATATGCTTAAGTGGTCCAGTAGGTGTGATTGATGCCTGTGAATCAGCGACTGCCGGTTCAAATCCCAAAATGCAAAGGTAATTTTTAGACTTATACTAACAATATAAATATGTAAATCCTATTAGTCAGCAACAAAATAAAAGCATTTCCACATAAATGCATAAGATATGGAGCGGTCTTCCCTCATTATTTTTGAAATAAAATTAGAAGGCTGAACAAGGGTTGGAAAAGACTTTTATTTAATGCCTTAAAAAGCTTATAATGTATATTACTGTTAAGCTTTTGGCTGATTAAAATCACCAGATTTAGCTGTTTAAAGGCTGAACAAAGGTTAGTGTGGTCTATGTACAACAATTATTCAATCTAAGGCTGAATTAAAATTGATTAACCAACACTTGTTAAGCATCAAATTGTTACCTGGGATAGGCTGTCTTGCAATGAGCACTCATACATTGGATTTCCAGTGAAAACTAGATGTATGAGTGTTCATTGCAAGACAGCCTATATTACATGATATAAGCCATAGTCTGTCCGGGGTATTAAAGTTCGCTTTAGAATTTAGTTGGATCTCTTATCTGAATTACCTCGGCAGTCTGGTCAGAATTTGATTCCCATAGAATTCATCTCAGTATTCCATTGAATTTAATTTTCCGAATTCACATGGAATTCACCTTAAATTTCCCGTAAAATATTCCGCTGAATCACATTTTAACAATTCAAAGTCAAAGTTTTGCCTAGAACTTTCTAGAAATTTTCTCCAGAAGTTCTCTTGAAATCTTGCACAGAATTAGTTTTAAAGTATCTGTATAATTTAAAAGGAATTCTCCTCAGAACTTCAATTCGATGGTAAATTGATTAATCCAGATCCTTAATTCCAAAAATTCCTTCAAAGCCTAACCCAACATTAAAGGGTACCGGAGGCTAACCAGCCCAAGGCTGAAAACCTCCTTAATAAAGAAAACCTAACCTAACCAACATTAAAATTTGTTTTGAAAATCTGGAAACCTAAATATCTGGAATCTTAATCTCTTGACAATCTAAAATTCCGAATCATAAAAAAAAAACTACATCTTGAGACTCTTAGTAAAGCTGTCATCTGACCACTCAATGCGCGCATACTGATTTTCTGAAATATACAAAGTGAGAATCAAGCAAACACAAAGTTGACTTGTTTTTCACTCTGCGCAAGTGAAAATCAGTGCAATCGCTCGGACGGATCCGACCCAAAGAGCACCACTCAGTGCAGGGTTGCAAATGAGAAACACAACAAATATACAAAATTCTTCTTTGTTATGCCCTTCTTCATCTCCTATGCATGCAGTCGTGGTAAGCAAAGTCTGCAAAGAATTCGAATAAGACATTAGCAATTGTTGTATTATATTCGCTCCCTGCGCCGCACAGAGTGTACTACTCATTGTGTGGATCGCTTTCTCACAGATTAGTTGGAAAAGAGGCGAAGTACATGGGAGAACCACACACTCTATGTCGAGTGTTGTGAGATGCATGCACAAAGTTGCTTTGCTAACGCTCTGAGGTGCTTTCCAGCCCTGACTCTTGCTCAAAGATTCTTGAAAATTTCTTCAAAATTGATGTTAAATCAAATAATTTTCTGTATTCCCAAAATTTTGAAGGTTTTTGTTTATCCCTCTTCTTCTTCTTCCTCTTCGTTTCCTGAACGTTTTAGAATTGCATTGATTATCTGCGAAGTTCCCTGATGTTCTACAAAGTTTCTTGAACTTGTATGGAATTTTCTTATCGATCCTAAATAAGTCCATTGAACTATAACGACGTGCCCTGAAGCAGTTACTTAAAATAAAACAAAGTTCCCTTAACTTAAACAAAGTTCCTCAAACTAGTACAAGGTACGAAGTTTTCCCGAGTTTTTACAAAGTACCCTATATTTTCACGGAGTTTCCTGAATTTATATTGAAACTACCGTAGTTCTACGATATCCCATGAACATGTCTAATGAAGTTAAAAAAATATCCCTGAGCTTCAACGAAGTTCCCTGAATTTCTACAAAATTCGCTAAATTTTTCAGAAGTTTGTGTAGTGGTAAGCGTGATTACCTCTCACCCCAGCAGGCCTGGGTTCAATCCCAGTCAGCGCCGCCGGGATGTTCTGAGGCATAACATCTCTGATCACGCCTTCCTTCGGAAGGGAAGTAAAGCCGTTGGTCCCCGGTTCATGAGTTGATGGGTCGATAGGTAGGGTCCAGGTGTGGGAGCTGCCTCTCTGGCGTCGGTAGCATTGGTGCTCAGCACGGAAAACTAGATCGACGGAAAACAAATCAGAGAAAAAAAAATTCAACTATAATAAATAAAGTTCAACACAGTTCTCTGACCTTACTGAAGTTCTACAAAAATATCTGAAGCTTCTAAAAAGTTTGCTAATCTTTCTAAAAGCAAGCTGACCCTCTGTAAAATGCTACAATTCTAGAAAGTTTCGAAAACTCCTACACAGTTCCATGCATGTCTGAGCCAAATGACGAAACGCGACAAATTTACATTCTTGGACCCATCAAACTTTGCATAATTGTATGTTATGGGCAATGATTCGCATTTTTACAAAAATTCGGCCATTTTGGATGCTGTAATTGTTTCAAAATGGCGTCTTTGCAATGTTTCAATAAATTGTAGCACGAAAACGTAACTTCTGATCGAAATGGCTTCTGACACAAAATTGTCGTGAAAAATGAATTTACAATTTTGAGTAAGAACTCCTAAAAAGTATATCACCATTTTTTTTTTAATTTTTAAACAAACAAACTAAAACATGCAAATTTTTTAAATATTTAAAACCACGAACACTTGAAATTTGACAAAAAATATGCGTCATTCAAAGTTC